TGATAATGAGACCGATTCGTCTTTAAACTCATATCCTAAATAATCCCGGTCATAGGTTACTCGAATGAGATATTGAGATAACCGGACAGACTGGTGTGTTATATACTCGTTCATATGATGGATGTAGTTGGTCTCATAGCTGCTCGTGTGGGGACACTAGGGATATAGTATAGGTGCTTATTGGAGAATGAGTTCATTGATTGATCCGTTTATGGAATGCTAGATGGTTGATGATGCCTTATTGTCAAACAACGATTTCGTAGTCCCAGTGGTGTATCCGATCCTTAAACTTGAGACACCAAGGATGTCCTATATGAGTGCTCCACTCTATGATACCGGACATAGGTTTGGATGTCTCATATCTAGCATAATCGATCTTCGGGAGTAGTAGTCAACCTTACGAGGGCTTTTGAGTGTCAATAGAGGATTATCCACTCTCGGTGTCTAGAGATGAATGTCACATGTGTTCTTACTCAGACAAATCCCTAGCTATGGTCATTTGGATTGAGAGAGAAAGAGTTCTCCGAGAGATTTCGATTAGAGCAAGACTCGAGTAGAAACTGTATGAGTTTGATAGCATAATGCACGGTATGCAGTCTTTTGGATATTAGATGGATGAGAAACTATATGTATATGGTAACTAAGGATAGATAGGTCTAATGGATTGGATTCTCCTGTATTGTCTACGGACTGCGGCGTAGTGACCTAGTACGTTCGCAGTCGATGAGTCGAGTGAATTATTATGGAGATAATAATTCACTGAGCCAGAAGGAGTTCTGACAAGAATGGCTCACGACTAGCTTGATATTGGGCCTAGAGGGTCACACACATATGGTAGGCGTTGCGATGAGTAGAGGTTCGAATATGAGATATCCGTCGGAGCCCCTATCTTATTGGATATCCAATAAGCCCCTAAATTATTGGATCCCATGGACGAGATACAATAAAAGTCTATGAGAGATTATTGGATAGAGATTCATTAATCTAAGAGGCTTAGGTAAATCCAATACCCAATATGGGAGGATCCATTAGGGTTGAGTTGAAATGAGACCTCTATAAATAGGACGGATTCAGTGGTTCATAGCATAGAGCTTTTGCTCACCTCTCCTATTCTCCTCCCCCTCTCCACCTCAGAGTAGGTCTAAAGTTTTGAGGAGCGTTATCGTAGCCCTGCTCTGTGGAGCACCGTTAGAGAGGAGGATGCTTGACCTCCTTCACCCTCTCCTAGAGATATGTAAGGATTTAAGGATATACGATCTCCCTATGTAATACAATCTTTAATATATGCAGTTTTCTACAACGATGTCATAGACATAGTTTGCATTGATATAGTCGATGATGGGCTTGGAGATATCACTGTCTTCCTGAAGATCGTAGTTCTGACACCATGTTGAAAGATGATAGAAGATACAAAACTCTTCACTCTTCTCTTCCTATTTATACAAGGAGAATTTTCTCGATAGAGAGATTTCCTAGAACTCAATATGATTTAGCAAAATGGTAAAAGAAGAATCAACCCCTCTCGTAGATACAAACACTGATCAATATAACGGTGAATCGATCTATTTATCCCTAAGAACTCAGTTAAGAGTTCTTTGAACCGTGATGTGCTAATGGACTTTTGAACTCCGATGCAAAATCCAATGAGATATGGCTGCAACACGTATCTTATGGCAGCCACCACCACCTTCTCGGACAATCCAGGCTTCGTCCCCAAAACCACTGCATGGAATCCGTGCATGGTTTCTGCCCACCGCCTGTCCCGTTGCTTCCACGCACTCGCCATCGCTCTCATCAGACGGTGACCGGCCATCAATCACCCTCGCACGAATCGTCGATCCGGTTGTAGTGGGAGGGTATCGTCACCGCCCCGACCGAGTCGTTCACCGATCGGACGGCTCCGTGCGGTGGTCACGTGAACTCCGCCGATGGCCCCACGTTTCCCCACACACCACCAACGGTTTCGTTATTCCGCGAGCTGAACCCTTTTCACTACCCAAGTTCCTACCTTCCTCAGCAACACTTAGGGGCCCATGATGGGGCCAGCCATATACAGCGATCAGAAGTCCGGTCGCTGTGACGGGTTTAGAAGAAATTAGATAAAAATCGCCTTTTTTTCGTCGTATAAATGCTCGAAGACACGTCAAGGAAGCAGAGACGCAAAAATTAGTTCTTGGAATTACAGAGAGAGAATTCCACACACTTCCTATACGGTTGGTGATGGATACTAAGATCGGATCGGTTGATGCGGCGGCGGAGACGACGGCCAACGGCGTCGTGGGCTGCCCGCCGGCGAAACCCTGCTGCTCCGTCGCGCCCGCCGCACCGACCACGGCGGGGCCCGCGGATGCCACACTCGGGCGCCACATCGCCCGCCGCCTCGTCCAGGTGGGTGCCCTCGACGTCTTCTCCGTGCCCGGCGACTTCAACCTCACCCTCCTCGATCACCTCATCGCCGAGCCGGGACTCCGCCTCGTGGGATGCTGTAACGAACTCAACGCCGGGTACGCCGCTGACGGGTACGCCCGCGCCCGCGGGGTCGGCGCCTGCGTCGTGACCTTCACTGTCGGCGGGCTCAGTGTGCTCAACGCCATCGCCGGCGCGTACAGCGAGAACCTCCCGGTTATCTGCATCGTAGGAGGGCCTAACTCCAACGACTACGGCACGAACCGCATCCTCCACCACACCATCGGCCTCTCGGACTTCAGCCAGGAGCTCCGGTGCTTCCAGACCGTCACCTGCTTCCAGGTATTCATCTTTCCGAAACCCAATCGCCTTTTTCTTGAGGGGGGCAGAAAAATCCGATCTTTTGCTCGTTTAGGGCTAGAAAGTTTGAATCTTGCAACTCATTCGATCTATATGTTCTGAACGTAGGCGGTGGTGAACAACCTGGAGGACGCTCACGAGCTCATTGATACTGCGATCTCCACCGCTCTCAAGGAGAGCAAGCCCGTCTATATCAGTATCGGCTGCAATCTCCCCGGCATTCCTCATCCCACCTTCAGTCGTGAACCCGTGCCGTTCTTCCTCTCCCCCAGGTGAGCATCTCATCAACGCTCTTTTTTCTTTTGTTGTTCCAGATGATAAATCGTCCTGCCTTTTCCCTCCTTGTTATGTTTGCAATGGAATAAATATTAGGTTTTAGGGAACTTAGTGGGGTTTCCTGGTAGCTGTGACAAGCATTTCTGATGAGATTTGATGGTTGCGACTGTTAGAATAAGCAATCAGATGGGTATGGAGGCTGCGGTCGAGGCCACGGCACAGTTCTTGAACAAGGCCGTGAAGCCGGTCTTGGTGGGCGGCCCCAAAATCCGGGTCGCCAAGGCCGGGAAGGCCTTCGTGGAACTCGCTGACGCCTGCGGGTATCCCATCGCCGTGATGCCGTCGGCCAAGGGTCTCGTGCCGGAGCACCACCCTAGGTTCATCGGCACCTACTGGGGCGCCGTGAGCACCGCCTTCTGTGCTGAGATTGTGGAGTCGGCCGACGCCTACCTCTTTGCGGGCCCAATCTTCAACGACTACAGCTCGGTCGGCTACTCCCTCCTCCTAAAGAAAGAGAAGGCCATCGTCGTCCAGCCTGAGCGGGTGGTGGTCGCAAATGGGCCGGCGTTTGGGTGCATTCTCATGAAAGACTTCCTCCAGGCGCTCGCGAAAAGGCTCAAGATGAACACAACTGCATGCGAGAACTACCGCAGGATCTTTGTACCTGAGGGGCAGCCATTGGAGTGCCAGCCCAAGGAGCCTTTGAGGGTCAATGTGCTCTTCAAGCACATTCAGAAGATGCTGTCGGAGAAGACCGCGGTGATCGCCGAGACAGGGGACTCGTGGTTCAACTGCCAGAAGCTGAAACTGCCGGATGGCTGTGGGTAGGTTCAGGGAAATGTTTGCCTAATTCTATGTTCTTGTGGTTGTTGCTGACAATTAAGCTCTTCTTCCATTTGTAGATATGAGTTCCAAATGCAGTATGGATCGATCGGTTGGTCCGTCGGGGCGACTCTGGGATATGCTCAGGCCGCAAAAGATAAGCGTGTGATCGCTTGCATTGGCGATGGTAGCTTCCAGGTATCACCTTTAAATCAATTGACCGAGGATCACATCTAAGATTATGATTGAGCTCTGGGATTCTGATTCATGTCTCTCCGTGTGCTTAAGGTCACGGCCCAGGATGTGTCGACGATGCTGAGGAGCGGCCAGAACAGCATCATTTTCCTTATAAACAATGGTGGGTACACCATTGAGGTTGAGATCCATGACGGTCCTTACAATGTCATCAAGAACTGGAACTACACTGGTTTTGTGGATGCCATCCACAATGGAGAGGGCAATTGCTGGACCACAAAGGCGAGCAGAGTCTCCTTGTATAATCACTCTGCAATTGCACCAGTTTTGGGTTTGAGTGTAACCTGTGGTTTATATATATGCAGGTAACATGCGAGGAGGAGCTGAAGGAGGCAATTGAGAAGGTGATGGGACCGAAGAAGGATTGCCTGTGTTTCATAGAGGTGATAGTGCACAAGGATGATACCAGCAAAGAGCTTCTCGAGTGGGGCTCCAGGGTTTCAGCTGCCAACAGCAGGCCACCAAACCCTCAGTGATCTTATGTGAAATAGTCTGAATAATGTAGCTACTTTTGACAGTCCCTTTAGTTACTGAGATAGTTTCTCTTTTAATAACACTATTGCGAATACCGATCTTTCATCTTATCGACATGTCGATGGTGACTTGGTTTTGGTTCTTCGGTTGACAGAGATGCTTTCTTTCTTGATGAAACTTCAACCTTGAGAGCATCAAACTTAGTTTGGTGCTGGATCTGGTGGTATTGTTTCGCAACTGTGTGGGTGACTGAGATATTATTATGTTTGATCTTGTGCTTTAAAATCAACCTAACAAGTGAACTTCCAGACATTTGCAGCTCTCTGTGTATTGGTTCAATGTGAATCTTTTGATTCTTGTCTGTAAGCTTTTGTGTTGAAACCTTGGTTTTTGGCTGTTCAGTGTGCACTTACTATGCCATGATGATTTGTCTTTGTATCTCAAGTTTTTTCTGCTCAGACCTCTTTTATCCCTCAAGCTTGCTTCTTTATTTCCCTCAAGGTTTTCTAATTTCTTCTCTAGAAAGAGATATATATACATCACAGCTGTTGTCATCATGTTTAACATATTGAGAAGATGTTAGCCATTATGGTATATGAATTGATTGAGCAGTGTATTTGTAGAAGTCATAAAAAATGAAGCAACAGTTGCCATGTTTAGTGAGATGTCAACAATTGCATGTAATATGTGGAATGGAACAAAAACAGAACAGAGAAACATGCATGAAGTTGGAGAGGAAACCTCTTTATTGATTGGAAGTAATTTATTGATTGAACCACTGGGAGGATCAGAATTTTTTGCATCTTTTTTCCATCAATTAACTTTGGACCTCTAACTGGAATCTCTCCCTCTCATATTGTTCTTTTCTTAGATGGGGATAATTGGAGATGGAAGGCAAAAACATGCAGCCTTTTTTGTAGAGCCCCTCCTTTGTGAAAGTCACTTCCTACCCACCAAGATAAAGAGATTCATGCATCCAACTTTGCTTTTTCTTTCCCCTTTGCATCAGTGGGCTCTCCTGCCCACAGCTTCTAAAGGATTTCTTCTTAGCAGTATCTTTCTATCTTTTCTATTTTGCTTTTCTAACTTTTGAAGTCTAGTAGGTATTGGTTTTGTTGAAGAGGATATTTTCTGTATGTAGTCAGAGGTGCAACAGATAAGTTTCATGACTATAGTCAACCAAATATAGTTTCATAGGTCAAATTTTCAATTTCAAGTTATATATATATATATTTATATTTATATTTATATATACATACATATATATATATATATATATATATATATATATATATATATTA